AGTGCAATTACACGGCAGGATCTAAAGCTTGCTAACCTCCAGTGACAAGCATCTTGTATTGTGTTCATGCAGTCTGTTATTTAAAAATGCTTGAAGGAAAATGAGACTTTAAGGTAAAGCGGTGTTCATTAGCAAGCATGTGTTGAGGTGTTGTGTCCAGTGGGAGCTGGTTGTGGTACTTCTTGGGCCTTGGAGACAGGTAGGTTGATATGCTGGTGGAGGAATAATATTCCTTTGTCTTATTCAGAAGGTATGCTGAAAGCTCTGTATTAAAGTTAGCTCTTTAATACTTGAGTTTTACTGTTTTAACATCAGTTGCTCTAGCATTTTGTAATTAACAGCTGGCCTCTTGGTGAAACTCACCTGGAATAAATGAGTACAGCTGACAACTCCCCTCTGCTTCATTATTTTCTCTTCTTCTTCAGCCAAGAAGATGAAACCTAAAGCCACTGTAGGTCTTAATATGTTTCTACCATAGAATTATTCTTTCTGTGTACGTATGTGTGTATATGGCTTTCTTTTACAGGAACACGATCCAATTCATATGAACACCTTAATTCCAAATTTCTTCTAGGATCTAAACCCAACTGTCCTCTCCACCCAGTCAAAGCAGAGGCTGAGGTAAAGCATTACCTCACATGTGAAGTTTATTCTGGGTATAGCTCATTCTCTACACAGCATTTGAACCTTTGTAAATAGTCCAAATAAGTAAATAGTGAGTGTAAAATGGAAAATAAATGTAATTTAAACCTTTTGTTACTCAATACACAAATGGTTAACTTCTACTTTTTTAACACAAATTGTGTAAAATGCTGCTATAAATTAAACTTTTTTGTGCTGTTACACTTTTTTAGGGAAAAAAAAAAAGTTGTTGCCAGAAGTTACTCCTTAGAAAACCAACCTTGTGCCATATGTAAATGCAGTGGAACTAGGGAGACAGATGTTCTGATCTCTTAATGCTGCTCTCTTTGAAGAGGCATAAATACTACTGACAAGAGGTGTGAGCCACAAATCTGAAGACTTCTGAAATGGTGGGTAGGGCTTTCCATCCCTGCATGTCCTGCAGATCGCTTCCAGAATGGGAAAGAACACAACTCTGTTCAGGTACACCTTAGCATAGAAGGTACTGCAGACAGCCGATCCTTGCCTTCAGTTACGAGGTGAGGGACAGTGGTTTCAAAAGCAGGGGTATGCTAAGCTAAATAGCAAAGGGTGGAATTGAGCATTTTCAAGTATGTTCAGTGTTTGTTAAAGCTATGCCTCCCTATTGTATAAAAGTACCTCCGGCTCTAAAGTTACCTTTAAAAGAGTGACAAATTCAGCTTTTTGGGCACTTACCTTTTGCTCACTTTTTTGTTCAGTAGTCATTTGAACACTTTAAATTGAGCAAACTTGTACAGGCTTTCTTGTAACAAGAGTCTATAGAAGATGCGAGAGCTAAAACAAGAATCCAGAGTTCAAGTCCTTATTCCTAAGACTGCTTCTGTCTCAGTTTCCAGTTCTTGGAATGAAACCAATCCAAGCTTGTATGAGATTTAGTGGTAATGCATGATCTTATTTTGTAACTCTTGAATTATGTATTTGATAATAATGTACAAATGTACAGTATTGCTGTTACTAACAAACTCAGAGTTGATTGCCTATAAATATTTTGGTTATTTTTTTTGGTCACACACATTTGAGCTGTTCAGCAATGCCAGATGGATTTTGAAGCAGCATTCATTGTATAAACCTCTTCAGCCTCTGTGCAGCCTTCAGAAGGAAATGCTGTGATGCTTAGTTTGACTTCCTCTGGGAGATGAATGTTCTGTGAATTGGACAAACCTGGCAGTGCAGGTAAATTGAAAGTGCTTCAGTTGTGCTGAAAGAAAACCATTTTAGTAAAGGAGCAGTGGTCTGGCTTCTGTTGTAATGAAATGTGGCCCTAAGCTTAACAGAAAGGATCTGTTTAAAAACCAGTTGGAAAGCTACAGGTGTTTTTCTAGTACCTATCCACTAAAATGTAAAGCCACCTTATTTTTCACACATCTCTATTTATATGGTCCAAATCTGCTGTATACAGACTGCACATGGAACAGTCCTCATGCCATGAATTCTGTAAGACATACCCAGATTTGGTTCTCCAGAGGAAGAAGTGTGTCAGCTGCTAATCTCAGAAAGCTGAGTTTATGCCACTGCTTCCTGCATTAAGTTCTGTCATTACAGTGGTAGCAAATAGTGAAGGACTGCACAGAGGCTACTGAAGTGGAATACCTTATTTTGGTGCTTACTGCACCCTGTGTTAACCTTTCAGTAGTCTGCTAACAATATGCTGTTTAAAAAAAAACAAAAAACAAGAGGAGGCAAACACTTGGTTTACTTACCGCCATGGTTTGTGAAGTGAAAACTGAGGGGGGGGGGTGCAAAATAAGTTGTAAACATTTTGACCTGCTTGCATGGATTTTCTTTAAAGATTGATGTAAGAATTTTGACTTTTTATATTTGAGAAATACCAAAATAAAATCTAAATTAGTCCTGTGGATGATGTGGTCATTCAGTCTCAAATGCTGCAACTGCACTTCTCGGTGCAAGAGACTTGCATCTCCTTTAAAATGCACATATGGGGATTTCATCTTTTTTCATGCTTCAAAACAATACAGCTTGGAACTGCAGCAGCAGCTGCCATGTCCCTGCCTGTGGCATGGAGAGGGGCAGGAGCTGAGCCCTATCTCAAACAGGACACTAGGCATTCTTCTGCCCTTTGCAGCTAGTTGAGGAGGAGCAGAGCCACTAAAACTGGTGTGTGATCAGCTGCTCTCTACCTGATGGCCCATGCTCAACTGCCCTGCTTTCAGTGACAGCACAGGTTCCCATTAACTTTCCTTCAGTATCTGTATTCATTCTAGTGGACAGTATTAAGAAGCACAGACAGAAGAGCACCACCTTGTCCCTCTCACTGCAGCCCAGCCTCTGCTACAGCCACAGAGACTTCCTAACGAGGTCTTTTTTGCTGCCGTTCATCTGAATTCTGAAAATTTTGTGCCTGTGTTCTGGGTATGCCATGAGCAAAACTCATCTTTGAACATAGCAAATTACCTAACAACTGAAAGTACTACTAGGGTCAGTTCACTGTTTCATATTCTTTAAGATGAATCTGCCTTTACTGCATGGAATGTAAGACTACAGCTACCCTTCATGCTGTGGGGAGTGTTCAGCTGTTTCTACTGCCATCAGATATCTGCCCCAACCTGTTCCTGCAGGCTTTGACAGGAAAGGTGCTGATATGTGGCAATATATTCATTAGAGCAGACATAATTATTAGCTATGCTCATGCTGTAACATGGCTTAGCAACACTTAATACACCTGCCAGTTGGACTGCACTGTAGTGTCTACATTGTGCAGTATTACAGTAAAAGTCTTGTGCTAAAAAAGGCAGATAGAGCTTTGCCTGCTTCTGAGCTTGTGCACCACAGCAGTCCTCTGCTGGCTGCTCTTTTCTCCCCATAGAAATGAGAAAAAAAACCAAACAATTACAAGTGACTGATAAGAGAAGTTAACGTTTCCTTATTTTAAGAGATGATGAGAACTGTTAAGTTGTACTGTGCAGCAGTGGCAGCCTGCTGCAGTTAAATGAAGCTCAGTGTCTGTGTAATGAATAATCACTCTTCCTTTTATTTCAGTGTCATATTACATTACAGTCAAGACATGTTATTGACAAAACCTACCAGACATTTTACTTTAAATGTAACCCTCAACAAAAAAAAAAAAACCAACCAACAAAAAAAACCCCCACAGAATGTACATAAATTGAGATGTCACAATTTCGTATGTTACTAATCCATTAAGATGTTTCACAATATTCTCCATGTTGGAAATACATGTTCTTGAAAGCTACAGAAGCAACGTTTCAACGGTTTTAAACTAAAGTCAGCTACTGCACAGATGTCAGTTCCCAGTGATCAAACACTTCATACCCATGAAAGCACGCGGCCAAATGTTGAGACAACCACCGAACACAGGTTTATGCAAAGACAAAAGCCTCCCAAAGCCTCCTTCCCCTCTTGAGCTAAAGGAAATTGCCACAACTGTGTTCTGTATGTATGGTTTTAGAGTCCATTTGATAATCCAGGCTCAACAGATGCAGTCGCTATCCAGAAACTGACCAGATGCAATGTCAATGCTCTCACTGAGGATTCCAGGACACGACACATAGCACCAGTAATGGCAGAGGAAGCCCACTTATTATACATTTGCTGTAAGTTTACCCAATAGCCACTAGAAACGGAGCTAGAACAAACACTCCCTAAGAGAGAGCTGCATTTGCTAACCAGCTATAAAGGTACACGTGACAGAAGTAACCTCAAGTTCAGATAATGCCTGTAAATACACACCTGCTTAGCTGAGGGGAAAAAAAAGAGTCCCATCTACCTGGCTTCAGAGAATCCCTGTTTGTTGCAGGGAGTTGGGCTAGATGACCTTCAAGGGTCCCTTCCAACTCAAACCATTCTGCGATTTATGATTCTAATTTAGCCTAAAACTCACATTCCCCAACACAACATAGAATAAAATTTCCAGGTTGACTTTATACATAGCTCTTAAATCAGGTTTATATTACATATATATATATACACGCATACATAAAATGCCAAATTTTGAAAGATTAAAACATACCTGAATAGATTCCACAACAAACAGGAATTTCGGTTTTTAGGAAGCCTGTTTAAAGTTTCCTTTCATCACAACTATCACTTGAAAATATTCAAAACAGTTTTGAAATACAGTATCTTGCTTGTCCTTTTATACCATTAGATACATCACTACTACTGAGTCACAAATTCAAACTGACAGTATGGACTTCTGTAAGTCTCCAATTTGCTGAGATACTAAAAATAATAGTAAAATAAAGAAAAAAATAAATAACCCAGACACATATCAGCTACTGTGTATTCTAACTGGTCTATAGTGTACTTAATTCGGTCACTAACAAATGGGGGCAGAGGAATTTTTTTTTCTATTTATATATTAATAATATTCCATCAAGAACTTACTCGTAGATTTAATTACATTCTCATCTCAAACAGCCAGGCTTTAAGCTATGCACATACAAACACCGACCGTCTGCTCAATGCCCTGGCTCTGGATTCAGCCCACCTACTTTGAAGCCACATGCTGTGAAGCACCACTTCAGAACCTGCTTCTCTGCCAAAGGAGGAGAAAGCCACATTCACAGGAGATGCTCAGGGCTCTGACCGCCCGGCCACACTGTGCTTCCTTACACCAGAGATGTGAGGCAAGCTTTATGCAGTGGGGAGTGCCCATATCAAGCTTTAAGAGGTAGGTGAAGGTAATGCAGGGCCTACTGCACACACTCACGCTTTCTCAGCTGCCTGCCACAAAAGCTGCCCGTGTTAATAGCATACAGGGGACACACAGCAGCCGAAGCCAAGCACATGCTCATTTGTAACATGAAGGTAGGGTTAACAGCACTTCCATTCTGAAAAGCAACCTGCTCCAAGCTTTCAACGCAACTCTGGCTTATATTCAATACGGAAACTACTTTTAAGGGGGTTTGTTTTGTATCATGAAGTTGAATTCTGAACTAAGCTTCAATCACACCTGAAGTATTCCAAGGGAAAAGACCAGTTACCATTCAGTGAAAGCATTTTGTTTGGAAGAAAAGCAGTTTTAATACATACTCTTAATCTCCCTTAGGAGCACAATAAATAGACCACATTCCATAGAGGTTTCAGCTGTTACTAGAGTAAGAGGTAAAGAGAGGAAGGAGAACACCAATAGCCTACATGACCATAACCCAAATTGCACAACAGCACTCCCCACTGCAACCACAGCTAGCTGTCACTCATAAATTTCAGGTCAGCCTTGCTAAAAGCTTTTACAATTCTATTTGAGAGGTTGGAGCAAATATGGGAACAGGGATACAAGAAGTTATAGAAAGTAATAAGATGGGTTCCCAGAAAAGCTGCTGGATTCCCAGACACGATACATGCACTCAAACACAAGGACAAGAAGGAAGCATCACACCAAAATTCCCTTCCCTCCAATACAGAAGCATTGCTGCTATTGACGCAGACTGGTTGTTCAAGCAAACAGCTTAATAAGGCATAAGGCCAGTAGATAAAAGCAGTGGTAAGAGGTGCTAGCTAGACGTGGTTAAGCAAACATGTTGATATATAAGCTAGCTGCAACTGTTTCCGTGCATTGATACGTTTCATGTTTACTGAGGACAGGAATTCAAGTTAGAAAAGTGTAACAATTGATGATAATCAAAGACAAGTTATGCAGATGCTCACAATTACTGCTATCTTTGTTCTCAGCCTCCTACTTGATTACACTCCATTTCCGTGACAATGCGTATCAACGCATTATCAAAATGATGATTATAATTGTAACAGATTTTTTCCCTCCCTCCCCCCCAAGTCAATCCAAATGTAACTTTGTACTAAATTGGACAGGTAAGGTCACCCACATCACACAAGCTAATGAAAAAAGTCAGCGTACAGAAGCAAAACATCTTGTAAATTCCACCTCTTTACTCTTTTAATCTGTCAGACTAGCAAAGACAAATTGTCAATTCTGGTTTCCATGTTTTTTTTTTTCTTTTTAAATACGATTGTCACATTAGAGAAATGAAAACACAGCAAAATAAACTGTACAAAGGCAAAGTAGAATAACAAAAAATATTTTACTAAAACATAAGATTTACAGGAGATTTTCCAGACAAGCCATACAAAATGGTCACAAGCTTTTTCTCTGAGGGATTTTTCTACACTTGACAGCAGAATCACAATATTATTAGTGAAGGTGATGGATGTTTAATGTTCCCATTTTTTGTTCAAACAATGAAGCTTGTCCATCTACAGCGTCTAAGTTAGACTGGGCTAGAGGGTATATTCTAAAGTATAACTGGTTAGCTGCTTTTATCAATGCAATTAGCATCACCATAAAAAGGGAGGAGGAGCCCACAAAATTAAAACGAAAAGCCCCGCAGCTAACCCTGCCTACCTTCATTCACAGTGCTTATGCTTAAACCACGATGGGATTAAAAGCAGAGATGTGCTGCTGCTTTTAAACAATTTCACAACAATCCAGATGATACTTCTAGCCTCTGCTCATGCGTTACAATAGTGAATTAGGACAAGACACAGATTTGCTAATGTGCATTTAATCACCAAAAGACTGAAGATGTCTGGGCTTTTATTCTGTAATGTTTCTAAGACTGTGTCCATTAAATGCAAACAAAAAAGGAAGAGGTCTTGGCAGAACAGGAGAAGTGATGCACACTTGATGTTCAAAGCGCATTTAAATATTATTCATGGCATATAGCCTAGTCCATGCTCTGGCTGTAAAGAAAAAAACACATTTAAGAAAAAAATGTATTTTTCAATTTTATTCCCGTTATTTTATTTTTTAAACATTACTTTTACACTGCTGCAAAAACACAAAACTTATCAGTTGTGAGACAAGCACAGTTTTCACCTCCTATAATACACTTCGTAATACACAAAAACAGAGATCTGATGAAGCAGCCAGCCCAATCACAGTGAGGCCAAAAGTGACACAACGTAATAATTCTTTCCATACCTGAAATAGAAGCAGGTATGGAAGAAATACCTTCTGAAACTAAATAACCCACTCCTTAAACATCAGGGGTAAAACACAAGTGTGCACTTCTATTTTACCATGTCTCCACACTGGACATCCTTGCAATTTAGGAACATAAAAGCTCAAGAAAAAACCACTAAGTTTTCTTCTAGCAGGCTGCATTTACACACTCGAGTAGACCACTGCAGGCATATGCAGGAAACCTGGACAACAACTGCATGCAGTAATTACTTCTGCAATTACTTTGCAGGCACAAAATAGGAGGCTGGGATTTCAATTCCCCAACCAATTAGCCATCAGCTCATCACATTTCTTAAAGCTAGAATAAAAGCATCAGATACATCACCTGTTTCTATGGCTTGGGCTTCATTGGTCTTCCATTGCTCAGCTACATCATTTGCTAGTGGATCATCTGGATTGGGAGCGCTTAACAAAGCCTGGATTGATAGCAGAACTGTACGAATCTGCAAAGCTGGGGACCATTTATCTAAAGAGACATTTATAACAGCATGAAATACCAATTCACAGTCTACTGAAATAACAAGTTTTCCGCTCCCAGATTAAAGGATAAATAAGATATCCTTATAAAGAAATCTCTTTCAGAGAGAATCTCCAAACTGCTGTATGTGGTAAGATAATAAGAAAATAAGGTTGCACTTACCTTTCAAAATATCTAAACATATTCTTCCCAGCTTGTCTACATTAGGGTGATAAATTTTGGTCATGAAACGTACTTTAGGAGCTGCCATTGGATATTCTTCTGGAAGGAATAGTTCAAGTTTAAATGTCCCACCCTCAAAGGGGGAATCCTGTGGACCTGCAATGACCACGTGAAAATAACGTGCGTTGCTTTCATCTGGTTCTGCTTTTATCCCAGGGACTGGCTCTGCCAGCAAGCGCTGGGTTTCCTAGAAGGAGAAGAAGAAGAGGCAATGTAATAAATACAGACTGTTTAATGTAAGCACTCTGTACAAACTATTTTAAAGATAAGTCTTCAGTATGAACTGATTACGCCCACTGAAACTATGATATCAAATGAGTATCAAAGAACACAATGTGGTGAATTGGTATAGATCTCCTTCCAAATCTCTCAACTGCTATGGTAATAACATGTGCCTCCACAGCACAAGGTAATGGCTAACAGTCAAGAGATTTGTTAAGGTCAGCTTTACTTCTAATTCTGTACAAATAGAAACAATCTAAAGAATATCACAGCAATAATATCAGCATTTCCCATTCTACCTTAAACACAGAAGTCCATAAGTGAAAAATGAAACGACCGATCACCCACAGAAAGCATTGAAGATTTACTCTAACACGTGTGCACTGGTTTTAAAACAAATGCCTATCCTGGAATCAGAATCAACTCCGAAGAACTGAAAGTACTACTCAGCCCCAGTACTAAAGACATTGCTGTATATATAAATACATAAAACATCTGTATGTGCGAATAGCCTTTGCTCAAGCACATTCAGCTTACATAATAAGTACACTTAAAGCTACTCTAGCAAACAGCAGGAGACAAACAATTTGTTCTGTACACGTTAGAATTAGGGAAGTCTGCTTTTCTACCCAGATTTGTTTTCTTTGTTGCTCTGCCTCCAGCAGTAACCCTGCCCCAGGCACCACGAAGTGGCTACAGTGAGGAGCTGCCCACATTTTGGCCACCCATCCTGCTAAAGCTCCGTGCAGATTTCTCTCTCCTCTGTTGCCAGCCTTCGCAAGTCTCGTAGGCACCATTCCACCCCCAAAAAAGAAGAGGCTGACACTGGCAAAAGGACACTAGGCAGGGACAAGGAGTTCTGCAGAAGCCTCATTTCCTCAGGTAATTTTAGCCCCATTTCCTGCTTTTCGTCCTGCTTGTTTTCACTGCTTGCAGTTAATTTTATCACCACCTTCCCCTGTTGACTTACACAAACAGAAATTCTATTTCTGCTGCAGCAAGTGGTTAACTGTGGGTGTCACATTAACTTATTACCCTAGTTTTATGGCATATTTACTCTGTGTGTCTACAATAGCAGTAAAATAAGCACAATAGTTGTACATGGCTTAAAGTTCTACAAATATAACCGGGCTGTTACAATACATACATTTTATCAAAATAACTCCAGCAGCACTGAAGTGACTGCCTTGATGCAGTTAACATCTCAGTTTAGCAAGTGAATGAAATATTTGAAGCATTGAAACCATAGTAATTAACATTCCAAATCCAACCATTCATATCAAATGTATCAAGTTCCTACAGATCATAATATTGACATTATTATCTTCATAAACACACCACAACAAATTCATGTGGTCCAACTTCTTGTTGGACTTACCTGCACAGGCATTAGCTGCCAGTGCCATTTAGATACCACCCTGTAAGGACATCCAAGCTGCTCTAAGCTTCCTACACTCACTCATGCAAATATAATTCAAAGGATACAAATGAATTTGCAACACATTCAGGATTTATGCTCTGTTCCCAGCCCCAGCTCTGTCCTGCTGACCCCAACACTGCCTCCCTAGCCATGCCAGTGTGCTGACTGTACCCATACCACAGAGCCAATCCTGGCTTAAAACAATCCAGAATCAGCAGTTCTATGGCAGCAGCATCAGCATTTCTACCTGCCAGTGCATCCAAGGGAACAGTGTCAGGCTGAGAGCTGCACATACTGCCACTAAAGCCATTTGTCAGTAAACAATGGGTGAGCCCACATACAAGAAAAATCATTCTATTGATAAGGTACAGCATCATCATATTGAGGGCTTTATCACTGCTGGAATACCATCATGTTCAGATAGATCTTTATGCCCTATGTTATATGGACACTGTTATCCTGCTATAAAATAACAGATGACAGCCAAAAAATGCATATAATGTTACATACAGTTACATTGCTTCTTGGGCTCCTCAGAACCAGTGCAGGATGCTATGGAACGTGAGGATGAGACACTGAAACAGTCACCCAGTGTGGCTCTGGATATCCCCTCCCTGGAAGCATTCAAGGCCAGGCTGGATGGGGGTTTGAACAACCTGGCCTAGTGGGAGGTGTCCCTGTCTATAGTAGGAAGGTTTGAACTACATGATCTTAATGGCCCCTTCCAACCCAAACCATTCTGTGATTCTATGAAAAGGAGTAGAAAAGGGAAAATGAACCAAGAAGTTGTGTTTGAAGGCCACAGCATATCAAGATGCTTAAACATAAGTAGACCAGTAAGTACCAAGGCAGAATCGGAAACTCAGCTTCTGCACTGTAAAGTCAGACAGCCAGCTAAAGACACACTGATCCTGAAATCCATTCCACCTGCCGTAAGGCTCGGAGCAATAAGTTCCATTTGAAATAAACAGCTGTCGGTACACAGGACAACACAGCACCAACTCACGAAGCTGAACCTGCTTTAAGAATTTTTAAAAATATATTGCACCCGTTTCCCCTTCCCACCCCCTCCAATATAGGCACCGACAAAAGAAGTCTGCAGATGTGGACTCAGTCTACAAAAAGGAAGTGTTTCATTTCCTTTCATATGTTAATCTAATTATCTATTACCTTCCCCAGAGGACAGTTATCCAGTGAAAAAGATACCAAAAAAAATCCCTTCCAATTAAATTTCTAACTCGCTAAATTTAATTAGATTATTCAAGAAGCTCAGGCGTACGCAACGCTTCACTTTACTATACAGTAACTAATTTTGTCTGCACAGGAATACTAATTTCAATCTAACTTGTATCAGAAAAGCACTTCATGGCATTTCTTACTAGCTCTCCTCTATCATACTGAGCTGAGTTTCACAGAAAACACTTCAGGACATACTTTGAGCTCTACAGCATTTAGTGAGGTACATCCTTTGCATCCACAGGCACTTTATTTCTATTTGTCACACGTCATGTTTCTAAAATGAGAACTCTTTTCATTCTCACTTTACTTCACTTTTCCTCAATTTCAAGCTAATTTCACAGCTTTCATGAATTAATGAAAAATGAATAGATGGAAAATGAAGATACATGCCAGCAAATACTTCAAGGAATAAAAAAATCCACCAAAACACACTGCTATCATTCAGAATTTGTTACACCTCTCCACCATTTCCTTTCTTGTTTTTAAATTAAGCGGTTAAAAACAAATGCAGAAGTGTTGAATGTTTTTTGATGAGCCAAAGCTTTTCTTAGTAATACAGGTGGCCTGAAGTAGAGTGACAGATGATACGGAAGGGACATATGGTGCAGCTGACATTCTATGTAGCTATTCTTCTATGAAGACATTAAACTGAAAATGAATTGTACCCGTGGGGGGAAAAACCTTCAACCTGTTCATATGGTAACCTGTGAGACCAAGGCAGCCTAGGACAAAGTCTGTGATGTTTAGAGGAGGTCAGCAGAGGAGCAAGAATGGTTCAGACTGCTGAGGCAGAGAAGTCTCACAAGCAAAGTATCAATTACCAGAGAGGCGTGCTTCAGTCTTTGAGCACTTGACTTTATTATGCTGCTTTCAGACGAAGAAAGAATAAATATTGAAACAGTCACCAGGATACTTCTGTCTTGCTCTGTGTGTATGATAGAGATCTTCTTTAGGGAAGCAAAATGAACAAAAGAGGTTGCTTCCATATAGACATGCATGAAAAATCAACTGTTATTGAATGTGGAGATATGTGGACACAGCAATATAAAGAAGGAGTCCACTAAAAATATACCATTATCTTAATCAGTTCTAGTCTTCCAATAGTCTTTATAAAGGCCTCAAGTTGCCAACACCTCAGTCAAAACAAGAACTACTACAGAATATGTATTCCACCACTCTGTAAAACAAAAGCTACTGTAATAGACTTCAGAAGTCTACTTACTTGCTATCAACACTATGGCAATACCAAACAATGGCACACTGGAAAATAATTATAACCAGAAGGCTCACATTTGCAGGCATTTGGGAAAAAAATACTTCTTACAAAGCACAGCCACTGCAGTTGAGTTGAAATTTTTAAAGCTCCTCCACTTGTCTGATAAAGACCATACCGGCAATGAAGGAAGAAAACACTGCATAGGATTTCACAATTTTTATACTTTCTTTGTAATCTTTAAGGCTATTGTATGAAGACTTCCATAATGAAAAAAAAGATGTCTGTGCTGACTTGCCAAGCAAACTAGCTCAATGACAGGAGGGTTGGTCTCTTCTCACTGGTGACAGGGAGAGGGGAAATGGCTTCAAGTTGTTCCAGGGTAAGTTTAGATTGGATATCAGGAAATTTTTTTTTTACATAAAGGGTGGTTAAGCACTGGAATGGGCTCCCCAGGGAGGTGGTTGAGTCACCATCCCTGGACGTGTTTAAAATCATTTTGGATGTGGTGCTCAGGGACATGATTTAGCAGAGAGTTGTTAGGGTAGTATAGTATATATAGAGAATATATATATATATATATATATAT